GGATGGGGGGGAAGGGAGGGATGGGGGGGGTTGGGTTACTGAGGGGCCTCTTGTTTTGGGTTCAGAATCTGTGTGTTTCTTCTTGGGGATTAGGCAGGGATTTTTTCTTCTATTGAATTGTTAACGAGGGGCTGCTGGGGATGATTAGCAAGTTCATTGTGTGAACTGTTCACACATCCTGGTGGTTGAGCTAAGTTGGTTGACCTTTTGCAGGCTGTATTTTTCAGGATTGGTAGCCAGGTTTTCTTGATTTTTAGACTCTCCTCTTTTTTATTGAAACTGTGCTGGTGTTTGTGAATCTCAATGGCTTCCCAGTATAGCCTGGTATAGTGGCTGTTGGTGTTGTCCAGAGCCTCTCAGAATTTATTTTAAAATCACAGCTGTGATTTCCATAACACATGGAATAGATTAAAAAAAATTAAGAGATCTATTATTTGTTTGTCTTTCTAAGAAACTTAAACGTATCCTATTCTGTCTAGAATTAGTATAATTAGCCCAAAGACAATCATTTAGATCATACAATTGACTGGAATTCTGGTTATATACCAGTAGGGGGCTCTGCTGTTCCTAACTGAAATCATATCGGCACAAGGCTAAAACTGCAAAAATCTTAGGTTTAAATTGATTAAAATATTTGACAAGAATATAAAAGCCACATGAACTGGAGTGAATATCCATTTTTTCTTCCAAATGTTGTCCTGCATTAATAACATCCATATGTCAACACAAAAGCACAATGAGGCTTAAATGGGCTTTTAGTATTTTTTCCAAGCTGAAATTCTCCTGCTATCTGTTACTGGGTCATGTCACTTTGACTGATTGTTTAGGTACTTCCCATATTGAAAATCTAGCTTTATTTCCGATGTGCTCATTCTGAATATACAGGGAGGGCTTTTTTAAAGACTATTTTACTTGCTCACCAGCAGCCAGAGTTAGGGAAATTTGCACTGCAGCCTAAGCTGCTTCTGTCCTATCTTCTCCCAGCTGTTTCTTAAACCAACTTCAGAAATTTCAGTCTGGCTTAGAAATGGGGCCAGGCTGGTGCTCAGTCCTACCCTTGGCCACTAACAAAACCTGACTGGTCATTCTGCTGCTTCTTTCTCTTCCCATCTATACACGGAAGCAAGTCTTGCTGGCTGGCTTCTGTGTAGATTGGTCTACCAGTGGCTGACTTTTTCTTTTTCCTCCTCACTGGTTCCCATGCCTTTCCTTTGCTTTCCTGAGTGTTCAAATATGGATGCCTTCACCTCCCTTTCCCACATTATCTCCTTTGACACTGATGCAGAACCTTTCTTTGCTCTCTTGTTCCTTTTTGGGACCATTGTAGAGCTGATGGTACAAATCAAAGCAATAATGAACAGGTTGTTCTTTCATTCCACCTTCTTCTGTAGATCCATGGAAAATGTGGAAGAACTGGTAGTTCAGCTTCAGAAATACAAAGAAGCAACATTCCTATGTTGCAACACAATCATGTTTTTAAATGGAGAAGAGGGAAGGGAACCTTTGCAGTACTGTAGGCAGGGGCTGGGAAACTAAGGGAAACATGTTTCACTCAGTTGAGCAGTCACCTAAACAATACTCACTGGCAGGTGTAAAGAATGAATGGAGCAGGAACATCTAGGATTGAAAATAGCTCATTGACTACCTGCCATCTTTCCCCACCCCACTCCATGCCACCTTGCCAGTGCCCACACAGCCAAACATCACAGTCACATCCTTAATCACTAATCTGCATCCTGCATCCAGTGCTAGGCAAACTGGGGGAGGTCCATCAGAGTGGGTCATCAACATTCAACCAATCAGATCCACTCACCACCCACTACTGAACTTATCTCTACCCCTACCCCCATCCTCATCAGAAAGGTAGACAAGGCATTATCACTGGCACAGTGCCACTGCATGGACAGCAATAGACATTCAAGAAGATCAATCATCAGTCATATTCCAGAGGCTGTTTAAAAGCACCAGACCAGACAGATGGTAAGCCAACCTCTCTGGCACAATATCGCCAGTCAGTTAG